CAGTTAATCTAGTCACAGCCTTCAGACAACTGAGGGAAGTTTCAAGTTCCAAGGTATGTATGGTCTACCCTTAATATAGACAGATAGTGCCTAAAGCTAGCTCATTTCTACTGCTGGATTTGTAACCTGCACCTGCTTCATTGACCTCCTGTTATATCACCTGCCTATCCTAGATGCCATCAGCAGATTGCTGACCTTGGTTTCATTCAGCTTAGCATCTACTAGCTTGTGGTTTTCCTGCTTTCTGTTCATCAGCCCAGGCAGCTACAGGACGAGAGAAGCCTTCAGTTTACACGTGACCCATGGACTTTAACCGGACTGCACTTACCCAATCAGCCTCACTGTAGTTAAACACCACCCCCAACTCCAAAACCCCAAACTCACTGCCATTGAGTTGACTCCAACTCCTAGTGACCCTCCTCGTCATAGTAAAACGACCCAGGAGTTTCCAAGACTGTACATCTTTACAAGAGTAGAAAGCATCCTCTTTCTTCTTCAGAGAGGCTGCTGGCTTTGAATGCCTGACCTTGTGAATAGCAGCTCAGCTTGTAGCCCATTACACCACAGGCTCCTTCATTGTAATTAGGTGTCTTAATTTAATTAGGGCAGTTCTCACTGTCAAATCTGACAACATAAAATAGCAATCATAGCAGAGTCTATAAAGATACTGGCGCTCCCATCACAATCTTGTCCCTTGCTGCTGTAAAAAATGTGTCTATGGTACTCCAGGGTGAGTCTGTGGGTCCAACCTAATAAATCCACTTTAACATGCCAATTTTCCTAAGCCTTTGGGTATCTTCTTCTACAGTATACCAAGGGCTGGCCTTTCAACTTAATTTAGTATAAGCTACCACTTAAGTCTATGCCTCAGTGAACCAACCAAATTTTCTACCCTCTCAAGATGAAACAATAAATGAAGAACTTGTGCTTCCTATTGTCATGGGGTTGATGATTCCAACTTAGTAGGCCATATCAATAAACTTTGATTGATACAACTTTATTTTCCTTGCACCATTATCTCACAACTTCAGTAGCTATTCCACGTACATTCTCCAGATTTCTATTTTTTAAAATTTATTTTTAAATGTATTTTAATGTAACAAATTAAAAAAGTGTCAACTGCATTACCCGAGACTAAATTTAATAGTTTTCATTCAAAACATCCTAAAAAAAGAATATAAAAACAGTTAAAAGAACCCAGCGGTTTTTTATTTACCCAGGTATGAAAGAGGTTTGCAAAAATGCCAAATTATGCCACTCTTCTGACTAAAACACTTGGAGGTTACTTTCCATTAATTTAATTCCATTCATTTAAAATGAGAAAACACACACACAACCTCTCTTTGAGATCCTGAATAATTTGAGCGTAAAGGCAAAGAAATTTTGAGAACTGTTGTGAACTTAGAATCTATTTGTATATATCAGAAAAATCAAGCAGTTCATTTGGAATATAGTGGACTGTGTCCTGGGTGACACTTTGTACCTCACCTTCAGGGTTGGTAGGGCCTAAGTCTAGTTAAAGAGGTCTAGAAGCAAGAATGGATAGTGATGGTGAGTCCTGGAGACACTTACCAATGTCTTATAAGGCATCCTGGAGCAGTGGTGGCACAATGGGTTAAGTGTTGGGCTGCTAACTGCAAGGGCAACAGTTCAAAGTCACTAGCTCCTTTGCAGGAGAAAGATGAGGGTAAATGGGTTTTACTGGCTCAGCAGACAAAGATGAGTAATCTCTTCAGAAGAGAAAAAGAGGGCAATTCTGTGGACAGGAATGATTTAATAGAATTTAGAGGCTCAGTGTCTCTGGCTTTTTAAGTATCTGCCCATATACCCCAACCCTGGTTCAGGATCGCATTTCTTCCTAATAAGTGCTTTTACTTTAATCTCAGACACTATTTAAGGCTGAGAACTGCGTTGGCTTTGTAAATTATACCACTCAAAAGAAAACTCTGGGCTTGCTTTTTGGCAATACCAGCTGTTATTGTAGCGTTGTCGTTATTAAAAAAAAAACACGGTGCTTTTTTTCAAGGTACAAGTAGCAACTTTCAGGTCTTTTATGGGCACTTGAGCTGAAGCCCAATTTTATCACTTTGTCTAATGATAGCAGAACTAACCAACTATTCTATTTATACCTCTCATTTGGACAAAAATGTAGAAAATTACTAAATATACACTCACATAGTGGTGATATTTTGTGTATTTCTACTGCCACGTCACACTATAGATTATTAGTAAGTACCTTGTTTACTATCAAGGACCCTGGGTGGTGCTGTTGGAGAAGTGTTGGACAGTTAACTTCAAGGTCAGAAGTTCTAACTTTTCAGTTGCTTTCTGAGAGAAAGATTAGACTATCTGTGTTTCTAAAGATCTACAGCCTTGGAAATCTGATTTGGGTTGCACTGAGTTGGAAATGACCAGATGACAGAGGGCTTGGTTGGTTTGGTTCTTTATGACTGTAGGCAGAGTCATTAGTGACTTTAAGAATACCTAGATTTGACAACCAAGTCAGAAAATTCATCCTTATGATTATGTTCCTATAGAATCATCCTTAGCACCAAATGTCTTAGACTAGCCTTTCTAGAGAAGCAAAATCAGTGAAGTTCATGTTATGAGGGGACTTCCAAAAGTTCATGGAAAATCCCATTATCCTTTAATTCCATTTCCCACAAATTTTTGGAAGGCCCTTTATGTATGTGTGTACGTATGTATATATTACGTATATATGTACGTATACACACACACACACACACACACACACACACACTATGAGAAATGACTAGATGGCAGTTGTTTTAGGGGCAGCTATCAGTGGGTGTCTGCAGACAAATTCTTTCAGTAATACATTTGTTTTAGTCTCAACAGGGTGCCTTCAGAAAAAAAAAAAAAGCCCCTTTCCCTTCAGCTGCTCCTCCACTTTCTGCTCAGCTATGCCATGGTCTCTTAAAAGCCAAAAAAAAAAGGTTCAATAAAAAAGGATTTCTAAACACAAAAGCTGGCCCACACCCGCCTCAAATCAGTTTCACCTCTGTCCATACCAGCGGGAGGAAGCAGTTCCAGAACTGTTTATGAACACATGACCTCCACAATGCCACCAAGGTCAACAAGACTTCAGCAGGGGGATGTGCAGGCTAAGGGCTGGTTTG